AATCTACATGAAAAATTAATATATATATATATATATATATATACGATATACGAATACTTAAGAGTGTGAATCTACAAGAAAAATTAATTTTAATTTGCTTAATAAATTATGGTCCAAAAATGTTTCCTTACAAAAACCCCGCGTTTTTGTGTTGAAGTTTTAGGAAAAAAATGGAAATTAATTATATTTTCAGAACCGCTTCAGTTATTTCACTGATATTTAGTTCATAGTGAAAGTTAATAAAGTTGCATATTTTTCAATGCAAAATAGTTTCTAGCTTTAACAGTAACGTGTGTACGGGTATTGACTTCGATGTTTTTTAAGAAAAAAATGGTACGCCAAATAAAAATTATTTTTGAATTTCCCGTTCAATTTAAACAAATGTTATTTATTGAGTTGTTTTCTTCGATGCGCCATTTTTGAGTAAAAAAAGTAAAAACCGTTCTATTGTCTAACTTGCAAAATTACTATTAATTTAATTAGAAAAATTAAACACATTACTGGTAATGGACAGCAACAACTGACAACATGAACATAACATCAAAAACCACGAAATGATTACAGAAATTGTTGAAAATGGCCCCCTTCACTTAGTATGCATGCTTCCGCCTTCCTTCTCATGGAATTGCGCACTCGTTGAAATATCCCTGGAGTGTTTTTCACAAGCTGCAACTATTCTTTCTCTTAATTCCTCTACAGTGTTAATGGGGCTGGTGTACACTAGTGTCTTAAGATAGCCCCACAAAAAGAAATCTAAACTGTTTAGGTCTGGGGACCTTGGTGGCCATTCTTGGGGCCCACCGCGGCCAATACAACGATTTGGATAAACATTTTGTAACTAATTACGAACCGCTAGACTGAAATGCACTGGTGCACCATTATGCATGTATGGTTTATCTGAAGTCACTTGAAATAGCATAAAAACCTTTGGTCGGCGCGTCCTTTGTAATTTCATGACGTATCATAGGAGTGCTGTTATTTATTTAGAACGATAATAATAATGTTTTTATATCACAATAAATGGATTTTACTATCTTCTTATTTTTTGATTTGGGATAAAAAATACTTATATTGGGAGTTTAATTTATGTTGACTGAAAGTTAAGAAATGGAAAAATTACAGAATTCCAACGTTTGACATAGGCAAATATTTACATAGCAGGTAGGTATATAAAAAGGTATATAAAGACTTACATTATAGGTATTTATATATCATCCTCGCCTTCGGAGCTGTCGCTAGAGTCATCTTGTAGAGGAATTACAACGGGATTTACAGGAGGCAAAACACAATATTCATGTTCTTTTCAATAATATGCCTAGAACACTGCTTCCATAGGTCTGTGGCAGCAATATGAGATACTGCATCTCTTATTGTGGCCAATAGCGATTCACTTAATTGAGGGGTCTGATTATGTTTTCTTACTTTTTTAAAGCAGCCCAGACCAACTCAATCGAGTTAAAAATGCAGTAATAGGGAGGTAGAAGTAATACTTCATGGCCATTTTGCTGAAGCAGATTGTCAACAACATACTCCTTTTCAAATTTTTGTCTTTAATAAGATCCAATAATATGGCTTTGGTTGATTTTTGTGGTATTTCCATTCCCTTATCCTTCATAAAATCAATAATGTCTTGTTTTTTTGTGCCTGTATTCGGAATTTTGTTTTTCTGTCGGGAATGGTATGGCGCATTGTCCATAATAATCACCGAATTTGGGGAAATGTTTGGTATTAACTGCTGCTCTATCCACTTTTCAAATAAGTCGAAGGTCATGTCCTCATGATAGTCGGCACATGATTCTTTGATATTTTTGGCAGATAACAGCAAGGCATTAGGTATAAATCCATTTTCACTGCCAGCATGGAGGATAATGATTCGTTTTCCACGGTTGCATGGTGCATTTAAAATGCACTTGTTGCTGTCGTCAACCCAGCCCTACTGCACAACATCATGGGTATCATACCACGTTTCATCCAGGTAAATCAGATTTCTTTTCTGCTCTCTATAGATTTTAACTTTGTGCAAAAATTCTTGGCGCAATTCAACGATTCGAGACGACTCCATAATCACCATTCTTTTATCTAATTTTTTGTATTGAAAAACCACACAGTTTTACAATACAGTGCAGTGAGTCTAAGCATTTGTAATTATAAAAATCTTCAGGATAATATTTTAATTTATCCCGTATCATTTCCAACGTGGGCACCAAATTTTCTTTATAAAATCCGTATATTATACGACGAATATCTTCCTGCAAACCCACGTCTATTCTTTTTAATTTTTGCCCCATGCGCTTTCTGTGGAAGGAATGGTTGACTACATCTCCCCTTTTTATAACCCGATAAATGGTAGACCGACTGATTTTTGTCAGGATACAAATTCTGTTTAAAATTTGATTTTGCGAGGAATCTGGATTTTCGTTTTCAGACAATCATACATATTTAGGATTACTCTTTGGGTCTGTTCCTCTAAATCTTTATGAAAGAATTCTGCCTGCACAGGTTCATCAACCATCTCCTCGTGGCTTGGAGCATTTTCCCAAGGTCTCCAAAGAGCCATATTTAGGACACACGAGAACGATCAACACAACAATTAAATCAACAAGTAAACTGAGTATTCAAAAGTCAAAAACACACAAACTAATAAAATCTATGAAAAAACACGGACAGACTAAAGAAAACACGTTTATTCACCGCTACACGGCACTGGCTAAACTGTTTCAATTTCAGTAGCCACCTGCACTTGTTCAGAGCTCTGAAATACACGCTTTCTCATTGGCTATGTCCACGCATAGGCGTGCTTTACTCCACGTGGACCGGTGAAACTGCCTTTGATCTTATACGGGGGATATTTGCTGCGAAATTTGGCGATTTTTGCAGCAACAGAGCGTGTTAAATATAGATATATAAAACGCATCCGGTATTTCACAGTGTTTCAAGTGACTTCAGAAAAAGTATACCACATATTGTTTCTTATTACTAACGGAACATCATCAAGCGGCAAAGGCAACTGTTGTTGAAGAAAATTGAGGTAAGTCTGTTCGTCAAGTCGACGAATGGGCCAATAAGGTAAAGTAAAGATACCACTGACAGAAGGTCACACGCTTTCGAAAATCAAAGATTCAACTATCTGGCAAAGCACGATCGGGATATCTCTGGTGATAAGTCCGTCTGGCTTGCTCACCATTACCGTCGACAAGGCCATATACGTAATGCATTTCCTGTCTACAGGGCGTTCCTTTAAATGGACATAGTAAAATGGTAGATAGTATGGACCGAAAACCTTCCATATCAAAAATGGTTCTGAACTCCGCGTTTACGGATATACAGGATGACTTTGCTAAAAATGCCTAATCATTAATTTCACATATGTCAGGCACTATTCAACCAATTGTGTTGAAATGTTACACGGTAACTAAGTAGCCTAAGAGCAACGTAATACTAGAAGGGCGATTGACAAATCCAGAGCCGGACTCGATTCTCTTTCACTATTTCGTTTTTTAACAAAACTTTTAGGCTTTTAGGAATATTGAGATGTTTATCTATGTTCAAAAAAGGGAATAAAGGTTGCTAATTGATCAGCAAACTGGATTGTTTACGCCTCTTTTGGTTTTAATAGTTAAGCATTTTAATTTTTCCACATATCTAATTTTTTAACAGCCTATGTGACACAAAACTAAAGAGTTACAGGGGTTATCAAACTAGTTTCTTTTCAGAACAATGCTTGAAATTGATCACAGACGTTTTAGGAACTTAAAACTCCAGGGTCATATCCAGTTTCTTTTATTTCCTTGAATTATAAGTTATACTATAAATTTATCATTATTTTGCGTATCTGGCCTTATATAGCCTCATTGACGATAGATTTGTCGGAGTCTGATAAAGAAATCGTCGAGGAATAATATGAAAAATCTAGTTAAGATTTATTACTTGCGGGTTGCAGAAACTGAAATCGGGCCGGGTACATCAGAGCGTTAAGCGTTCAAAATCAACTCATTATACAGGGTGTCTGCAAAAGGTAATCTTGAAACTGGAGACACTACGGATCAAAATATGTGGATTGATTTAAGCATAGCTTAGTCCAAAAGTTGATAGTTAGTAACAATTTTATTTTCTATTTGTCCTTATTGCTTGAGAAGTATTTCAGATTTTGGCATAAAACTCGCTATAGGGAAGTTTTTTAGTATAAGAAACAAGAATCTGTTATTTTTTATAGCCAAACTTCTAGAGGGCGCCACTTACAGCTTTATTTCGATAATTAACTTATCATACCTTTTTTGTGCTACCCTGTATACAACATCTGACCAAAAAATCTTATTTTCTCGTATTTCCGCAACAAAAAAGGTTCACTTGTTAGAACTGTCTGAAGCTAATAGTTTTCGAGATATTTGTTTTTAAAGGTTCCAATGCATTATTTGTACCATGATGATAAAACAGTTTTATAACATAATAATCAAGTTGCTTTGGATAATATCTGAACAGCGTAGCTATGGTTTCTAATATTTGTCATAAAATTGCTTTAAACTTCATGAATCCACAGAAGCATCACTTGTTTAGATTCAAGATTGCAGTTACGCCCCCTAGCAATCGTTTCAGAAACATGAAAATGTGTTCCATGACCGTTTCGCCACCACGCATTTTTAGTTGGCCACCCTGTGCTTTCATACTTTCACCTTATTGAATTATGTTCCGTCCTCGTCGCAGTAAATATCTAGAATACATATCGTAGTACCCTCGTAGTAGTACATAACCATCACGAGCGTACTACAATATGTATTCTAAATATTTACTTCGACGAGGACTTCACATAATTAAGATCGAACATCACTTAGCGGTAAGTGCCTTTGATCATGTAATTATCGTTAATACATATTTTCCATCCATTAATTGTTTTTGTTCAATTCAATTTGGTCTTATGGTATGTTGACGTACTATCGTCCTACAATTTGGTCAATATTATTAATATGATAAATATTATTATTATTATAATAGACAAAAATTGGCTGCGATTCAGTCTATGGATGAGTGACCCTAACTCAAAGTGGTGTCATGTGCAAATATGGGGGGTAGCTTTACATGATCTGTATACCGGCGTGCACATGGCTGGTGCCGGAAGCGTCGACTGCTGCCCCTGGGGCGGCCGACGTTTCTTCTTGGGGGGCGGCAGCGGTGGCGGGACGGCGAAGCTTAAGCGCAGCCGGTGTGGGCACCTGGGCGGTGCTACTGATGGTGGTGCCTCCTCGGGCTGCGTATCCTAGACGAGGGGACGCTGAAGGAGGTGGAGCCAATGAGGGACCCAGTGTTACCGGTGACTGAAACAAAATATGTGGGTTAGTCACGAGATGGGTTAAACATTAAATATACCTACACCCCATATCAACAAGCAAAATGGTAAATTGTGGTGCTAGGGAAATTCATCAAACTTAAATGATGATAAAAGTAAGAGTTAAACTTCCAAACAAAAAATAACAGTACTATTAAAGCTCTTAGTGATGTTTTAACGGATACTGAGATATAGCCGGCGTCCTTTATTTTCGGGTCACCCTGTACATACAGTACCGAGCAAAAGTAGAGAAACAACCCAACTAACAATTATCACTCCTATTAGAGTTGCAAGAATGATTATACAGTATTCCTTAAACAGTATTGTATAGTGTAAGAACATTGGCAAAACCCTCTTAGAACAGCTATACAAGCGGAATGGGCACACCTAACACGAACCTGCAACCGTCCATCGGCTGTTTTATCTCAATTCCGCTGTAGAATGCCCGTAGCTCTACTACTTAGGACACTTCAGTCATTTAAGAGGTTGTATAAGGGCTGCAGGTAACAGTTATAAAACAAAAGTGTAAGCCTCTTGCAGCCGCTATAGGACATTTGCGTCAGTGCAAGATTCAGTTTTTGCCAACTATACAACTATTCTGTTACGTGATTCTACTTTATTGCAAACTATTTCTTATGTATTGTATAGGCGAAGTGAAGAATATATAACTAACGCATTACAGTCATCTTGTTTACTTACATATCGACCATTGTGAATTTCATACACAGGTATATGATAAACTTCTACACTTTGATATAGGGCTATTGAATTACTTGTGCAGCAAATTTTATTGTGATTATCGTGCAAATTAGTTACCCAATTTCTACGGGCTTCGTATTTGATTCATATTTTGACAATGATCAAAAGTATGTCTAGATTTTTAAGATGGAAAACTGAACTTATCTGCGTTAAATCTTCCACAAATCCTGTATTTAGACACAATTACACTAATTTTTATCACTTTATATCTGTAATTTCGAACTGAAACATAATTATTTAATATTAAATAGAGGAATAATGTTCGCCCAATATGGCGGGTGGTTGTGTTAAATCATGGCATCGTCCATGTTGTCTTTAGGTTATTAGAATCTTTTGTGTTGCCTGCAGGTGTTTTACAACAATTTGACAAATGTCTGAAATGAAATACCGACAGAGTCGAATAATTTACCAGAATTTGTACCAGATCTCTATCTTCTGTTTGAACAGTTGATAAAACCTTTGAACCAATATGCATGCGTTGTTTGTCTTAAAACATTGGTTATGGCATTTTAACAAAAATATGACAGCAAAAAGTTAGGTTATGGTGAAGTTGTTTACCAACATATTTAGCATATGTACAGCCTTTAACAGTTACTAAACAACAGTTGTATAAGTGTTTCCGTTGGGAGCAATTTGTTGGCTAAGGTAGCAAATTGCACAGCAAAACAACAAGGCTCGGGTTTGTTTTATAAAAGTTACCATTGATGCCACAATACAACCATTTTGACTAACTTGCAAATATGCCGTATAAAATAGTTGTATAAACGTTTATGCAACAGTTAAAAATTTGCCCTATAAGGTGTTGTTTAACTACGCTATAAGAATATTTTAAATACCTCATTTAGAACAAATATGTTACAGAAAGCAAATTTGCATTCCACACAACATTAAACCAGCATTTTGGTGTTCAGGCAACAACAATAGAGAGCTTTTATGGCTGTACGGTTCTTTTAACAAGAGCTTATACCACTACTTTGCTAGTTGGGAAACCACATTACAAATAAGAATCCAGAAACATTTACTCTTACCCAAAACTGTGCACTAAAGTTTTTTATGTATGACTACCTCAAGATAATGAAATGCTGGTCTTTGTATACATTTTTTTTCAATTTAATATGGTCGGTTTTTTTGTTCAACAAGCAAAAGTAAAGAAACTTTTTGTAAATATATAGTTTATATTTAGTCGTTCATTGGAATAGGTGTTATTTTGAGTGTATGTCTAATATGACGTTATTCTTGAGGAAAATGTAAGTATACGCTTTGAAAGTCAAGCCGCAAACTGCAATATGACATTTTCATGAAGATATCATCGAACAACGACACTAGCGTCATCTCTGGCGAAAACTATGAAACAATTGAAAATCTCGATTCCTAATAAACCGGTAACATTTGGAGTGCACCTGCAATTTTATCTAATTTTTCTCGATTCTTGGATAGTCTCACTATTCTTGAGAAGCAGCGATATGTATAAAATCGCCGTGAGAAAACTAATACTGAATATGCTGTGCCCTACGCGTTATTTATATGTTGTCCTTTCTAAAGACAGGTTATGTTCAAAGTTATAAATTACGATTCTTCCCTATTTATTTTGTGTTTACAAAAACTTTTAGGAGAATTACAGGAGCTCACCATCGCGCCTGCGCTGTGTGTAATTACTGTAAGCATGTATAATTCGACAGTGTACAGTGAATATACGAGGCTTGTTCGATTGAAACCCATCTTTGGTCCAGAAAAAATATAATTACCACTACAATTAAGGCACATACCCCATTGTTTCACCTGCTATTCGTGGCTGTTGCTTGAAGAATTCTTTTACTGTATTTTGTACTTCTTCGTCCGTCTGAAAATGCTTACCTTCTAACGCCCTTGTCAGTGGCCCAAAGATGTGAAAATCGCAAGGCGTTAAATCATGACTATAGGGTGGATGCTCTAATATCCTCCGTATCTTTCGTTGTGGATTGTCTTTCACTATTCTGGCAACATGAGACCGAGCATTATCCTGCAGACGAAGGACACCACGTGAGAGCTTCCCAGGACGTTTTCGTCTTGTTGCTTGATGGAGATTGTTCAAAGCTGCATTATACAGGTTTGCGTTGATATGAACTGTAGGTTCTTTAAGCTCTATGAGCCAGGGTCGAAAAAATGGCAACATGACCTTGCCTGCAGAAGTTTGAACTTTAGACTTCTTTCGTTCAAAATATTAACACAAGGATTGGTCGTCAGCAATTATTAATAAAAGAAAGTCATAATCGTTCTGCTTGTACGATTGATGTCTTTTAAGTTTTGCATATAGAAACATAGTAGGCCGCGCAGATAGAACGTCAGTACTGAATCTTAACCTCACTCTTTAGTAAACTTAAATTCAAAGTTTCACAACGATACGCGCAGTTTCTCACTATAGTGTATTTTTAAGTGTCACCGAGTCATTAGAAAAATGGAACTCAACCGAGAACATTTTCGCGCCATAATTTATTACAACTTTCAGAGACAATTATCGCAACAAGAATGCCTTGCTGAGTTAGCGTCTGTTTTAGGCAACGAAGCGCCACATCAGTCGACAATTTCTCGTTGGTATGGAGAATTCAAACGTGGACGGGTGAGACGGGTGAGACGATCCCAGGGTGGGTGGGCCAAAAACGGCAGTCACCCAGGAAAACGTCAATGCTGTGCCCAAACACATCATTGAAGATAGACATGTGACATATCGCGAGATTGAGGCGTCCTTGAAGATCTCAAAGACCTCAATTCAAAAAAATTTACATGAAGAATTAGGAGTAAGAAAATTAGTTTCTCGTTGGATACCCCAGCAGTTGAATGAACAGCAGAAAGCAGCCAGGGTTAATTGGTGTCAAAAAACGCTTGACCTTTTCAATTTCGGAAACTTAAAAAATGTGTGCAGCATTGTTAGTGGTGATGAATCGTGGATTTACTGTTATGAACCAGAAAATAAACGACAGTCGGCTGTTTGGGTGTTCACAGGTGAAGAAAAGCCAACAAAAGTCATCCGTTCTCGAAGTGTTTCGAAAAAGATGGTCGCGACATTTGTGTCAAAAGCGGGTCATATTGCATCAATTCCTCTTAACGAGCAAAAAATTGTTACTGCGGATTGGTATACCACCATTTGTTTACCGAAAGTCATCACCGAGTTTCGAAAAATCAACCCCGAAAGAAGAATCATCCTCCACCAAGACATGCTAGCTCGCTCACAGCCCAAAAGACAAGGCAGTATTTAACGGAAGAATAGAGTCATATAAAACTACCTACTGTGTTGTTTTATTACCATATGCAAACTTAAAAGATATCCCTCGTATTCCGTAAGATGTTGCAAATATAAGCCCGTTCGCAAAATCTAGTGGTCCTTTGACAAAAGGCGACGCACCCATTGAGCACAAACTTTGCTATAAGCCAAGTTGTGACGATACTGTGGACAAGTCCTATATTCATACCAACATTTACTAGAATTGCTCTGGTCGCGGCTTATCATTCGTCTTCTCTCTTCCACTCCTAGATTTTCGACATCATTCCTTGACAGTTGGACATGCAAAACATACGTTTCCATACACTGCTTCCGTACGCGTATGAATTTGCAACGTTTGCAAACCGACAAAATGTCACTATTTTAGATACGTAATATCCGTGCCGATCTACTTTTTGTCATTTTCATACCGATTCTCATTATAATCTCTATAGACTATTCGAAAGCCTTTGACAGCATCAATCATAAATTATTACTTGCTAAATTAAATTACGTAGGTCTTGACAGTGTATCCCTGTCATTTTTCGACAGTTACCTTCATCAAAGAACTCAGTGTGTCCTTCTCAATCAAGATATGTCTCAAGTGACATTAATTCCCTCAGGCGTACCTCAGGGCTCTGTATTGGGGCCGCTTGTGTTCCTCATATATACGTTCGACTTAACCAAAAGTATTGATAATTCTCATATCCAGTCATTTGCAGACGATACGCAATATTTTAACCCAGATAATGTCAATAATACTACTCAAATTTTACAAAACGATGTTAATAAATTAATTAAATACTCTTTAGATCACAATCTACTTATTAATCCACAAAAATCTAAAATGTTATTATTTTGCGCACAAGAAAAACATACAATGTAACACAGCTCTTGAACATTCAGATAAATAACCAAATCTTGCAATTTTCTGATTCTGCAAAAATTCTTGGTGTTGTTTTTGATACAAAATTAAGGTTTATTGAACATGTTAAAGTC